ACATGCGCCTGTCAATTCCGTGGGCGGCGCCGCGACAATTTTCCGGATGGGTTTCTGCCGCAGCCTCCCGCGCGCGCGGCGCTCCCACGATCGGGTTGTGGATCGAGCCATCTCAGAAAAGAGGGTCATCTTTTGCAACTTCCCGCGCGCGCGCTCCCGCTTAAGAAAAAGCTATAAGTTTGCGCCGCAGCCTCCCGCGCGCGCGGCGCTCCCGTGATCGGGTGGGTGAAGCAAGCGGCCCCGGGACAGAAATTTAATCTTGTGGGACAGATCCTCAGATTCGAGTCACAGGTGGCCGATGCCATGTGATCCGACAAGAGGCCGTTTTTTCAACCGCGCTCAGGCCGCGAACTCCAACCAGAACAAGCCATTTTAGCCAAAAGCGGTCCATGGACATTTTTCCCGGAAGCATCGCGATGGGCTCTTCCGCGCGGAGCTCTCGGACCAACTTGCATAGAGTCACTTGCGCAGAGTCACACATAGAGCCAAGCAGTGCAGGGAGCCAAGTGCACACCAGGCAAGCGCATAGAGCTAAGTGCATAGAGCCAAGTGCATAGAGCCAAGCGCAAAGGAGCCGAGCGCATAGAGCCGTGCGTAGAGCCGCCAAGTGGATAGAGCCAAGTGCGCTTCGGCGTTGGTCAGACCATCGTACGCGGACTGACGCTCCAGCAACCTTAGCATAAGAGGGTAATCAATGCCAAATTCATCCAACAATAAGAAATTTTGCCAATGAACTAAACTTACTAATTTTGTAAAATTCATACTGGCTTCTATGTTTAGATATTCTATTACTCAATGGTTCAATGGTGCTACCCATTTAACATGTATTTTTCTCATATCTTGTTTTTATAGATGTTACATTTTAATGGTTGTTCTCCGTACATTTTATCTCAGCAAATCTTTAAATGTCAATTAGGTATCATCCTCTGAATTACGTTTTTGTGAAATATTTTCTGATTCCATCATATCAATATAAATACAATTAGCTTAGTTTTTCAAGTTTCAAGACGGCAGACGCAAGAGCGCGGAGCCCTGCCCTAGCGCCTTTTTTTCCAAAGACTTGGAAGAGCTCAGGCGATCACGCGGCTCGCCCAACACAAACGCGACGGCCGCTGCTAGTTCCGCAAGGTCCGCCACGTAGAATATGTGTTGCGCACCATGCCGGAATCAGCGTGATTGCAAGTCTGCTGGCCCTCCACTTACCTCTCCAACAATGTGCCTGGACTTTCAGAAGATTTGTCAGGCTTGGAGATGCGCCTGGCAGGGAGCACACAGCAGTACAAGACAAAGACTTCGGCAACCGCACAAGCGCGGAAGCAATGAGTTGAGCTTTTGTGTTAAATATGTTGCCTGGGGGCATAGTTGATACTGAGAAACTCTGACTAACACATCAATGCGCAGCGCGACTGAGAAGTTGGCCCACACATTTCAAGGACGTTTGCCACAATCACTTGTTGCACATGCTGGTGCGAAGCACTAGCAGCACATGCACATGAATCAACTGCTGTGTTCAGCTTACGTGCGTTGCTGGCGTTTGGCCATGGGTTTTTCGCCCAGTGTGAAGTCCTGTGCAGAAAATGCCAGTTTCTTGCACCCGCATGAAATGTGGCACAACTGGTTGGTTGAATCAGCTTTCAGACTGAATCACAACGCAGACAGTTCACGGCGCTTTCCAAATCATGCATTGAACTGGCAGCAGCAACATTCTGCATCAGTCAGGACAAGTTACAGTGAGTGGTCAAACGGTATCAATTCAGATTGCCAGGCAGCGAATGGCTTGCGCTTGCGCTGGATGATGCTCGGAGTCGAGCAGCGCATCCTTCACACTGGTAAACGAGCCATCTGGGCCTTTCACTGCAAGTCCTCCATTGCCCATGAAGGGAGTTGCCAACTGCAGCGCGCGCAGTGGGCTTGTGTGCAACTGCAAAGATTTCATAGTTGATGCACCAAGCACGCCCAAGCAGCAACTCATGCGACGCGTGCCCAGCCAACACAGGTCGCAAAAGCAAATGTGTTTTGGTAAGCAAGAGCTCTTGGCTGCTCTAATACGCTGAAGTGACCAAGGGTTGGTGCCAGGAAGTACAGCGAACAAGATACAGAAGCCAGTGAGTCTGGCTGACACCCAAGAGCTGCAGATTGTGCCAAGCCACACTAAGCTCTTTGCTTTCAGCGGCAGTGTGCGAGGTGTCAAATGAACAACCTGACACATCGACAGGTTGCCAACACCTGAGAAATACTCAATGTACGCCCAAGGCCAAAGGCAAGAGCAATGCGAATAGAGCAGGCGTTCCACCTGCACGATGCACCTGGCATTCGTTGAGAACCGCAGTGCCAACTCTCGCTTTCAAACGAATCAAATTTAAGTAGCAGTTGAGCTATCATAGAACTCAATAGTGTCAGTGTCTGATCAGTGGCAATCTTAGCAAGGCAGCCCAAGTGGAAAGCCCAGAAGCACACGAAGAAGAATGTCAGCGACAAATAATTCAACGAGAGATCGATCGTCATCACTATATCGCTTTTTACTTCCTGCTCCTCCTTGTTTGCAACCGCCGGCAAACGCCACCGCCACGCCACCGGGGACCCGCCGCAGAATTCGCCCTAGTGTTTCTTCTTGTTCCTTTGCCTCAGCTTCGGCTGCTACGTGCGCGGGATACTGACGGTGAGCGCGGCTAGGCGCCAGTCCCTCCACGCGGTGTTCCCAACTACTAGGATAGTGAAAGGGCACATGTAGGGATGCAGGGATTTTTGATGTGTCCAGGCACCCGCAAACTACCATTGACCGCCTCCAGTGAGCGTCGCACACGGGCGCAGGTAGGCCGTTTGACCACCACTGGCCACGGTGCGCGACTGCATCTGCATTCCTGCCTTCCCATGCGCGCGTGTGAGGCGCCATGGCCAGCTTGAGCCCCGCGTCGGCAAGTGGATGAGAAACCAAACTTCGACCGAACACAGCGTTAAAAACGTCCAAAGGCATGCGACCCCAAACCCGAAATGACACAGAGACCTCTTCTTCAGTTGGCGCTGCAACGCATGACAAATGCTCAATGTGTGGCACCAGGGCTGTCTCGTGTTCTACATGAGCGTGATCCTGAAGCTCTAGATGCTCACCCCAAACCGCCGAAGAAAGAGAATCGTAAAACGTCCTCAGTTTTTGAACCTCGACCATGCGAAGGGTTGCGCGCGGCTTGCAGGAATCGTAAAAAGTCCCCAGTTTTTGAACCTCGACCACGCGAATCTCCGCAGAGGGTCGCGCGCGCATGTTAAACATCGTAAAAAGCCCCCAGTTTTTGAACCTCGACCACGCGAATCTCCGCAGAGGGTCGCGCGCGGCTTGCAGAAATCGTAAAAAGTCCCCAGTTTTTGACCTCGACCACGCGGATCTCCGCAGAGGGTCGCGCGCGCATGTTAAAATTCGTAAAAGTCCCCAGTTTGTGAACCTCGACCACGCGAATCTCCGCAGAGGGTCGCGCGCGGCTTGCAGAAATCGTAAAAAGTCCCCAGTTTTTTTCATCAACCACGCGGATCTCCTCCCGCCCCGGCGCCTTAGAAACCTAAACTAACTTACATAGCTGCTTACGCCGAAGCTCTACGCAAGCTCTACCTAACCTTGGCTTTGTGCCACTTGGCTCTGTGCCACTTGGCTCTGTGCCATTTGACTCTGTGCCACTTGGCTCTGTGCCACTTGGCTCTGTGCCACTTGGCTCTGTGCCACTTGGCTCTGTGCCACTTGGCTCTGTGCCACTTGGCTCTGTGCAACTTGGCTCTGTGCCACTTGGCTCTGTGCCACTTGGCTCTGTGCCACTTGGCTCTATGTAACTTGGCTCTGGCAACTTGCTCTGTGCAACTTGACTCTGTGCAACTTGGCTCTATGTAACTTGGCTCTATGTAACTTGGCTCTTTGCAACTTGGCTCTATGTAACTTGGCTCTATGTAACTTGGCTCTATGTAACTTGGCTCTATGTAACTTGGCTCTATTGTAGCTTGGCTCTATGTAACTTGGCTCTGTGTAACTTGGCTCTATGTAACTTGGCTCTATGTAACTTGGCTCTGTGCAACTTGGCTCTATGTAACTTGGCTCTATGTAACTTGGCTCTATGTAACTTGGCTCTATGTAACTTGGCTCTATGTAACTTGGCTATGTGAGGCGCTTTTGACAAAACTTTTACGCCTGCAGGCATGTCAGCATGGGCACTGGTTGATGAAACCGGACGGAAGCAGGGTAGCCATGATTAATTTCTGCACGTTGCGGGCTTGAGGGTGAGAGTTAGACAAGGCCTCTCCCGTCCGCATATTGCCCTCCGCCCCCTATACCCCCCCCTACACTTTTAGCCCCAAATCAAATACACACACCAAATCAACCCTTTTCGCACCTCCATATCATCACACGCACCAACTTCAACACCAAAAATTACACATTCATACACCCGTCTTCATTTCTCACTCATCTTCTCACTTTCATCATCAACTCACAAGCTCATTCAAAACAACAATCAGAACCGCATACCATCTTCGCACCACACAATAAGCAATTTTCAACAAGCATACCAACATCTCACCTCAAGATCCCAAGATCATCCTTCTTCTCCCTCCTCCCACCAACGCACTAACAAGCCCCCTTATCCGTTTCTTCACAAACTCAAGCAGTCTAAAATGAAACCCCAAAATTTCTGTTACCCTCATCCCCCCAAAACGAAAGAACACCACCTTTCCCGCCCAAACACCCCCATTATATACCCTGGATGGTAAAATGCGGGCTGAAGACACAAGTCTTGGTCAATTCCATTTTGCGGGCAGTATTGGCTTATGCAGTTGTCAGAAAGCATCACACTGCATGTAGGTTCACACCCTCAGTGGCGCACATATTTGCAGCGGTGAACGCAAGAAACTCCACCCTGTCACAGAAGGTGTCACACGCAGAGCCTTGGTCTTCAGGACAACAAACTAGCCGTTATCCCCATGACACGCATTGTCATGCGTAGTGGGCGGCGCTATGTGCTTGCATGGTTGCTCGCTTGCTGTTGGTGTTTTGCAGTGAGCCCTCAGCAGTCCGTTTTTCCGCATTGCCGTCTCCCAGAAGTGATGATGTTTCGGAGCTTTTGACAAAGAAGTTGTCGGAGTATGAGAATGAGCAGGTGGAGAACTGGATCAGGGCACAGCTGGTGGATTTGGAGTATTCAGATGTTGCAGATGCAGCGTGCAAGGCGCTTGCTGGTTACAGGAGAAAGGGTCTTTTGCTGCTCTCTTTTGATGACCTCCTTGCGATTCTCACAACCATTGAGGACACCAGCATTCGACAAGGAGTGGCAAGACTGCTGTACAACCTCATCCAGAGAGGTGTTCCACGAACCGCACCCGCTGCTTGGAGCAACCCTTGCACAGACTGTGATCCTATTTTGACATATCACATTTCGCTTCTGTTTTGTGGTTGACGTGTAGGTGTGTGGGTTTGCCCTTTCCCCCTGCAGGTTCTGGCTGATGCCTCTGACATAGACATAGATTTTGCCCGTGCGTTGGAGAAGGCGGAGTTGGACGCAACTGGTCAATTTTTGGAGACAGACGAGGGCAGTTTCAAGCAACACCAAGATGCAGAAGTGTGGAATGATAGGACATTCTACGTCAGGGACTGCTACAAGGATATTGCAGACATCATGAATGCCACGCAACCCGGCACTATGTCGCTTTTGGGCTCTTTGGGCATCGACAAGTCCAATTTCATTGTCTACCTCATCTGGCGCCGCTTCCAAGACCCCGAGTTGAGCAAATTTCCAATTTTTGTGCATAGGGGCGACAGAAGGGTGCAGTTTCTTGAAGGGGCAACAGCCACGACGGGGCCATGGTGCGGAGCCCACAAGCCCTATACATCATGGATGCCAGCATTGATGTGAAGAACGAAGTGCAGTGCCAGAGCCTTTGGATCACCTCTGCGAGGAAGCCAGAATCTCCGGCCTTCAACACAGAGCATTTCAAATATGCCGACAACTGCTGCGGGCGTTTTTTTTCATGGACTTTGGAGGAGATGCTGGATGACGAGGTGGCGAGGCTCCACGGATTGTCAAAGAAGGTTGTTGAAGAGCGCTTTACTTTTTTTGGAGGCACAGGCAGTCAATGACAGGGAGAGGCTTGATGAGGCTCTGCAGGACCCTGAGACACTATCAAGCCTGAAGATTGCCTCCGACATGAAAGTCATCAGCAAAACCACACACTTGCTGGTGAAGATGCACCCGACAGAAGGTTTTGGACGGTTTGCTGTAAATATATCTTCAGACTATGTTGCACAAGAGCTCGTAAAGCGAAATAGGGCAGACAACGCCAGAGAGCTTTGGAAGGCAATGCGGGCAGGAATGCTCACTGGCACAGGACCTGTGCTCTTTGAACAGGAGTTTCACAACTTCATGCAGGACAAAGGCATCAAGAAGTTCAAGCTTCGAGCACGATGCCTAAGTGATGGTAGAGAGGAGGACCTTCTATTAAATGGCGCTCTGGACGCTGAGCTGGCTTCAGGCAATCCAAAGGCGAACGTTCAACCCGAAAAATACTACCTGCCACAGAAGCGCAACTTTCAAGGGATTGATTCCTGGACCTCAGAAGGAATGTTTCAGTTGACCATCGCAGGGAGCCATCCTATCAACTTTGGCAATGCCAACTGTCAAGTGTTTAAGGTTCTTCGAAACCTGCATTCAAACTTTGCCAACGGCAAAGTGCGGCTCTACTTTGTTGTCCCGGACTCCCGTTTCGACAAATGGAAGAAAGTGCAGAACATTACTCCGCCAGAGGCGGAAAGCATCATTGAACAGTGGGTAGTGTGTTTCGAGGAGAACCTTCCAGCATGATGCAGAGGAACGCCGACGAAAACTTGCGTGCTGGGAGAGGCAATTTTGCTGATAACCTTGAGGCTGCTGTTTTTGAAGCGTGCAAAGAAGGAGGTTCAGGGTCCACTTGTCAATGTGTGCTATTGACTCAAGCTCTACACCCTGAGCAACTCTGCACGCAAGTAAGGGCGAGCCATCCCTTCAACGGAATAGTATTCTTGTTTTAGTTTCTTTTTAACCCCTGAAACCTTGTATTTGACACTGCTCCAATTGGATGTGCGTTCTTTCTCGGAAATCCTTTTTTTGCGGTAGATCTTGACCTCGTCTCCAACCCTAACAGGGGGGTATTTACGGGTTTTCACTCTGTTCATTTCAAGTCTTATTTTGACTTCCATGTGGCTACTATCTTTATGTGCTTCATTTGCGGTCATGCCATGTGCAAAATGGTTCATTTTACTGTTATATGCCAGTATGATCTCGGGAATGTAATCAACCCATTGAATATTAGCCTTTCCCTTTTCCTCGTCTGCATCAACCCTCTTGAAAAGCATATCCTTAAACGTGCGAATGAAACGCTCGGCGAAACGGGGGTGCCCTCGTGTTTTATAGTTTTGGATCCCTTCGTCCTTGAAAAAATAACAAGATCTTGGGTATTGAGACTCCCCTCATCATCTGAATAAATTAATTTGGGCTTCCCTCCCATTTTGTTTAAACCCTCCATGATCCCAGCCGTGATGTCGGCAGGTTGCTTGGATGCAATAGGCACCACCGCGGCTTTACGAGAGAATACATCAATAAGCAATAAGCCTATCCTATATTTTTGATTATCTAAATCATTTTTTGATATATAAATTGACCCAACTGATATCAGGGGCAATGAATGAATTGTATCTAGACAGTTGTTTTTTCCTTTCCACGCTCTCTTGAAACCACTCCTTGACATCCTGCATTGTTATGGATGCATCTTTCTTTTTGCATATTTTGTCTTTATTACTCATATAAATAATACTACAAAATAAAATTCAATATGATATTTTGTCACTGAAACACCGATTGCACGAAGCATAGAAGGCAATGACATTATCCTTTGTATGGGGTAGATCATTACACAACCTTTGACAAGTCAGATTAGAATTTATATTGCCAGAATCCATGGACAACACAAAGCCACAGCCACAATTTGCACACTTTCCATTGACATTGTCCTTCGACGATTCAGTATTTACATAATGTTCTTTTGGGATCTCAGTTTTGTTTTTACGATCCTGTTCCTTGTATGCTAACACCTTTCTATCAAAATAATTCATAATGCATTTTGCGTTAAATTCTTCATTTAAACCACTACTGTATTTGTAAAATTTTACTCTGCTTAAAGCCCTTGCCCGAGTGATTCCCGTCCAAAGCCACTCGCGAGTTATCAAATAATGATTCCAATCAAAAATGGTGACATCATCATCTATAGAACAACCTTGAACAGAATGAGAAGTATAACAGAAAGATAAAATGACTTCTTAAGATACCAATATGTAGCGTGATCTCTTCACGTGTTTTAATATTAGCAATGGTAACCCAAGAATCGGAAATATTAATGATCTCATACCTGAAATTCATATATATTTTATAGGTTTTTGTTTTCTTATACTCTCTGCAGATCATAATCTCGCCAACTTCAAACTCATGTTTTACCCTGTCGTTTCCTGATTTGTGTTGAAACTTCCTTGCATGTGTTATTTAAATATGCGATGTTACTCTTTGTCCCTGTTATGTCATCAGTATATTTAAAATACTTATTGATGAACTCAAGTAGTGGCACTTGATGCTCAAAGATGTCAGCGTATATGTTTTTAAGCTTGTCCTTGTCCTCCTGAGTCTTCAATTGCTTGCACTCTTCCAAAAACAAATGATGGGGAAAAATGCTATCAATACATTCATTCATATAAATCTCGTGTTTCTTAGTGTTAGTCAGTGCTTTTATGGGGCTCAATTGCTTGGCATCACCAGTAGCTAATATGATTTTGTTAGCCCTGTGTTGCTCTACAAAGCCCTCAATTTTTGCCAACACAAAGGTATTATTAAAGCAAATCTCATCAAACACAACGACATCAAACATTGAATGATCGTATTTCTCTAGCTTCTCGTCATTGACTGCTATACTGAAGAATTTATTTACAGTGACGCTTTCCACTTCGCACTCCAAGCCCAGATTATTGGTAGGAACCACGAACAACACTTTATAACCCTTGAGTCTCTCCATGTTCTTGCAGATGGTGGACTTCCCCGCTCCTGCGAATTTGGCCTTGATCATCAAGCACCTATATTTCTCAACAAGTTCCACCAATTCATTTTCATCGTACTCAGTAATGATGTTAACTCTCTTACTTTTGACAATCGGGATCTCAACATATTCACTTCTTCTGTTCATACAACTGCTTTCCTGCATGATGGATCTCATCGTGAGTCTTGGCTAATTTCCACCCACCGATCCCATCGTGAAAATCTAGCAACTGCTGAGTCTTTCTCAAACCAAACTTATTAAAACCCGAACAGTCCACGACAAAAGCGTCGCATTTGACACTCGATACCTTAACATTGTTATCTGTCAATTTTTGATATGCGCATTGCATTTGGAAATTATGATACTGCAATAGCATTTCTTTAATAAAACGAAACCCATTGGACAACTCGCACCTATCAACCACATTCAGAATGTAATAAAGCGAGCCATTTTTTCACATACTTTCCTGTCCCGACACCACACCCCGTTTTCATCAAACTCTTCAACCTACTTGGCTGTATGCTTACTCATCATGTTTAGCTTCCCCCCTGCATCTGCCTGAAGGCCGATCGCGTCACTGAGATCAGCAAAAACGAATGATCTCTGACTGCTGTTCTTACTTTTTTCCAACAAGCCAAAAATCGGGTTGGCTATCATTGTTTAATTGCCTTGTCTTCTTCAATACTTTCGCTTATTCGCTTCCCCCAGAGTTCCTCAACCAAAAATTTATAATCTACCTTGTGAATGAAATGTGGCTGTTTGTAGTGAGTAATGAACAACTCGCCAGATGCAACAAGTGGCATAAAATGCTTAAGAAACACACCATAAACTATATTAGTATCATTATTAAAAAACAGATTGTGATGTGTCAGTTCTGATTTTACCAAATATATATTTACATCCTTGATCTTACATTTACTATTGTAAGCTTTCCAATTATCAAACTGATTAAAAACTCCAATTCTGGTAATCCTATTAAATGCATCTCTAAACGCTTTGTTCATGTCGATCTCCTGTTTTGGAACATCCAATTTATCCAAGCCCTTGAATAACTCGCCTTGTGGGACGATGGTTCTATAATTATTCAAAACTTGTATATCGGTAGGACTGTAATAAGACTTGTGATTTGGATTGAATAGTTTCTTTTTGAATGTAAACATAGCTTCAGTCATATTGTTGTAGACTGTTTCTCTGTCTACCGTGATGTCATTATTGATCTGATCGTCTATCAGACACTGTGCCCTAATATTTAGATACACATTGTTGAAGTCTGCCCTCAATTCTGAAATAGTCCCTGCTTTGTGAACAATCCTGCATTCATACCCAATATTTTTGAAATCGCAAAACAATTTATTTAGATCATTCTCTCTATGAACTAAATCTAAAAAGTTCTTTTCCTGTTTGTCGGTTCTGTTCGCAATTGTTGCATTAACCATTTCAAAAATGTCACCAATAGTAGAAAACATTTTGCAAATCGATGGCTTCTCTCTATCACTTATATGATAGTCGGGTCGTGCCTTTACTACAAATGCATCATCATTGTTTTGTCTCTGTTCCAATCTGTTAATATTATTATTCAGTGTGTAGATATGATTATTTTTGACCATTGCATAAAGGGCTCTGATGTTGCGGTCAAACATCTCTGGCGAATAAGTATAAATGATTTTTGCCCAGTTGGTCTATTATTCTCACTCGCATTCTGTATTTCATAAATACCGGGATCATGTCATCAATTGACGCCCCCGACTCTGTGAATTCCTGTTCTGTTTTATTTATTAGTTTTAGTATCATCCCTCGCGACATTGGGTCTTTCTTCTTGTTGTTCATTAGGGTATCTTTATAATAATCAGTGAGTGTATTCAACCAACATTGATTATCTACATAATTACCTTTCTGGATTGCTTCCATAAATGTTTCTTTGGATGTATCCAATTTGGTACACATGTAAGTATTACACATACTGATGTTTTCCGATCTTCTCAGGTTGGCTTGTCGTGGATTACTAGGCTGTCCACCTTCCACCTTTCTGGCTCTCAAGATCTTCAAGGCGTCAATATACCCCGTCTCTACGCTGTAAGCCACAGCGTTAGTCTTGTTGGTTAATCTCTTCTTGTTGATCTCGATTGTTTTTTCTGGTCAATGCCAACATACCCGCCCATAACATTTAGCATTGTTTCAAGTTCTGGGTCTTGGGCAAGTGTTACAATGAACTTTCTGAATAGATCATGATAATTGATTTTTAAGATTCGTTTGCCTACATACTCATCTATATTCGTACAACTCATCTATATTTGCCTACAGTTCTCTGTCTTGTCCATCGTTAGGGTTTGGAATTTTGCATGTGAAAGACGGCTTTTTGTTGTCACCTTCCCTAACACCTTCGCGGTAAAGCGTGACGTCTAATGTCCACGACTCATCATCGCCTTAGACTGCTTTACAATGTTAGTTACAGTGCTTCGTTTCATCCTAACATTCAATGGTAGATTTATACGGTTGTTTTGGACGCATTTTTTGTCCCATTTCTTGTTTTCCTTTGTGGTGGTGGCATTGATAAACCCATCAATAATAGTTGATGCGGTGCTAGACTGTGCAATTTTTCGCTGTTCATATAGATCTCTCTATTCGGTGGCTTTTTCCTTGGTATCGCCAACCTATCAATTTTTGAATTTAGTGACCTGATGCTATTTTTTGCAGTTTTTGACAATGACATAATGTATTTTAGATATTAATTATTAATATTTTTTCT